TTCGAGCACGAACCAGATTCCGCGAGGTCCGCAACGGTGCGGGGGCATTCCTCTTTCGACGTTGCACACCGACGCTACAGGCCCTTCTCTTGCCATACCCAGTAACGCACGAGAAGACGGGGATGATCCAGACCAGAGGTCGAACACCCACACACACACACACATACACACACACACACATACACACACACAAACAAAAAATGCTTCAAAACGCAGGGGGGGGATTCGACTGTGGAACCCCCACGAGGACCTCTCTCTCTTTCGGCGTTTGCCTTCTGGGATGTAGCGTGCCCGTCTCCACTAGGACGACGGGGCGTTCGAGTCGGGGTTGGGCATGTCGGTCTGATAGGCATCCCGCCCTCCCCCTCGCGCGCCGCGCCCACATTCGAGAATGCACGCCTCTCCCTGGGCCGACGTTGCTGGGCTGCTGTCGGACGCCCAGTGGGCCCCGCAGCTCCCTGCTAAAAGGGCTGTGCCCGCAGCCTCAACATGCCACCTCGCCGGCAGGACGTCCATCCATCTCTCCATCCTCCTCCTTGTTGCGTACTGACACTTGCGGCGAGATGTTGCCGCCTTCTCCCCGCTCCAGGCTTTCGCTTGCGCGACCCTGGAGCGGGAGTTTTTCGCACTTCGGCCAGTCCCAGTGCAGAAGACATGGTGGTACTTTAATGCGCCGCGTGTCAAGAAAACCACTCCTCCCCACGTTTCCCGCCCCCCTCCTTCCCCAGGGGTCGACCCAAACAGCGTTTTGTTTTGCAAGTTCGTGGGCCGTTGTCGGTCCGATTCCGTTTTGCAGCAGAGGCGGACCGAGGACACAACGCAGGAAAACGAACACAAAGCGAACACGAGAAACACTGTTCAGGTCGAGCCCTGCTCCTCCTCCCGCCCCCCACTCCCCCTCATTCCCCCCTGCCCCCACTTCCGCTAATCTCTCCGCCGCCCCCAGGCCTTCGTGCCTTCAACGTTTCTTCGCCCTTCCTTCCTCCCCCTGCCCTCCTCCCTCCCTTCCCTCCTCCCCCTGCCCCCCTCTCTGCCTCCTCCCCCTGTCCCTTCCCTCCTCCTTCCCCCTGCCCTCCCCCCTCCCGCCGCCGCATAGGCGTCCATCCACCCGCACCGGACAGGGCCCGCCCCCCCGCTCGCGCGTGGCTTGCCTGCCTCTGCTCGCGCTTCGGCCGCGGAGGCGTCGCCACCGCCGCCCGCCGCCGCCGCCCGCCGCCGCCGTCGGCCGTCGGTCGCACGCCGTCGGTCGTCAGTCGGCGTCGCCGCCGCAGTCTCCGCCGCTGTCGTCGGTCGTCAGTCGTCGTCGTCGTCGTCATCAAAATATCATTACGACCAGCATCAGCATCATCAGCATTACCATCGTCATCACCACCATTTCGATCAGCACAATCATCATCATCAGCAGCATCATCATCAGCATCATCATTATCATCATCATCATCATCATCATCATCATCATCATCATCATCATCATCATCATCATCATCATTATCATCATCCTCATCCTCATCCTCATCCTCATCCTCATCATCTCCATCATCCTCATCATCCTCATCCTCATCCTCATCCTCATCAACATCATTGTTATCAGCATCCATATTATCATCATTATCATCCTCATCATCATCATCATCATCATCATCATCATCATCATCATCATCATCCCCGTCCTTGTCCGTCGTCGTCGTGGAGGACACCTTCAGGGCGGGGCGGCAAAATGTCGCACTCGGGGTTTCGATTTCGAGTGGGGGGAGTCGCGCCTGGCCCCTGGTGCTTTCCCGACCTGGGCTTCTGGGTTGACAAAACAGTCAGTTCGGTGTCGTCGTCACCGCGGTCGTCGGACGTCGGACGACGGTGGCTGTAAATTCGGCGTCGGTGTCAACGTCGTCAACGTCGACGTCGGTCGCCACCATCGTCGGCGTTGTCGTCGGCGGCGTCGTCGGTGTCGGCATCGTCGTCGTTTTCGTTGTCGCCGGCGTCGGAGGAGGAGGAGGGAGGACAAAGTGGAAGGGGGAGGGGAAAGGGGGGAAGGAAGGGGGGATAAAGGGGAGGAGGAGGAGGAGGAGGAACATGAGTGTAACAGGGAGACGTAGGTAGGATGGAAAATATGGAGAAGGGGGGACGGGTGGAGGGCGGAATGAGGAATCGTATAAGGACGACGAGGTCTATCAGAAGCAGGATGAGGGAGCAAAAGGAGGACGAGGAGGAGGAGGAGGAGTTCGGTGGGGCGCGCATTCGGGGGTTGAAGTGGGAGATGGTGAGAGGGAGTGCGCCAATGAGATGGAGGGAGAGGGAAGGAGGGAGGGTTGAGGGAGGAGGGAGCACGAGAGAAGGAGGAGCGAAATACGAGTAGGAGCAAGACGAGGCGAACAAGGGGATGAGGGGGTTAGGAGCAGGAGGAGGAGGGACGAGTTGGGAGCTGGGAAGAGGGAAGAGGGAGGAGAGTGAGGTGGGAGGGTTGCGCAATCGAGGGGGCGAACGGGGAGATAACGCGTACGGAAAGTGGAGACGGAGGTGGAGAGGGTGCAGCACAAGGAGCATGCGCAGGCGGAGCAGCAGGGAGGAGGAGGCGATCATCACTGATCGTCGAAAATCTTCGATTAGATGGTCTCATCCGCTAGGCTTCGCGGTTATGAGTGCGCTTGGCCGATAGTACCGATGTGTGCGAGGAGGGATCATGAGGTGGCTCGACGAGTTGCGCTGCCTCCGGGAATGGGGGCACGCGGCGGAGCGCGCGCGCCAGCCGAAGCCGAAGCCTGCACCGCCCACACGCGCGCTCGCGGCGTGCGCCGGTGTTTGCAGAGGCCGCGACGACGTGTCGAGGCTGCCTGTGGTACAGCCCGATGACGCACGCGGATCCCAGGAGCCCGAGGACGGCGCGGGCCGAACGCCAGAGCCCCGTGCTGAGCCCCAGGTGGTCGTCATGTCAGCGTCTGGACTGCTGGGCGGCCGGGCGGGGTTCTCGGTCTCGGGTTAGATCTGGACGCCCGAACTGGGTACGGAAGGAATGGGTACAACGCCCAACAGCAGTTCCTGTTCATTTTGAGCAGGGCTCGCTGTCCGCGCCGCCGCGGCCTGTGTCCATTTGAGACAGAAGGCCGCTGTTGGTTTGGGACAACATTTGTTGTTGGGCATTGTACCCATTCTTTCCGTACCCATTTCGGGCGTCCAAATTAGAGGGGATGCCCAGTCCCAGGTCTCAGGAGGCTCTGATGTTTACAATCTTGGTATTGTTTCGTCGGTGTTGGCCCCTGGGGCACTTCTGCGGGCCCCAGTGCCATCAAACAGTGATCCGGGGCGGAAAAGTGCCCCCTTGGGGAAGGGGTCGTCGGGACTTCTTGAAGCCGCGCGCGAATTCAACAAGAACACATCGTCGGGTGTCAGGGACAACGATCCAGGGTAGTGTTCAGTCGATCCTGGATGACAGGCCTGGGGTATCCCAGACGAGTTTCTCCGGGATTCCTTCTCCCTCGTGCTAGCATGTGTTGATGGGGCTCGATTCGACCCGCTCGATCGCGCAGGCCATCTGATAAATCTGGTTTCGGGCAGCCTTTGGGCAGCCACGGACGCAGTCGCTTCTCTCCGCCTCCTTCTCCACCTCCCTCCACCCTCCTCCCCTCCCTCCGCTTGCTCCCCCTGACTTTGAGAACCGCCGCATCAGATACAACGTTAGGGGGGACGGGCTCAGGGCTCGACCACTAACCGCCCATTCATCACCGAGAGAAGCCCGACAGTTCGCCCCGCCCAGGAACCTGCGGACTCGCTATCGGTATCCTATCGCCGATGTTTGCTGAGATGTATCGCCGAGTCTGGCTCCAAGTGTACACCTTAGGCAATGCTTGAGAAAACTCAAATTTTCGGCCAGAGTCTCGATTATTTTTAACGTTTCAATGTAAATCCTAAGATTTTAATGCAAATATTGGGTTTTTATATTCAAGTTCTGAGACTATGAAGTTCTTAACCCATGATTTCTGAAGCATTTCGCAGGGTGTAGCCTTGTGCTGGCCCCCGCCTGAACGACGGAAGAAAACCAGGCCGTCTTCGCCGACGTTGGCGCGTAAGTGTTTCGCGCAGGGTCGAGCGTAGGCGCCCCTCGCTTCCAGCGCGCTGTGCCGTGCCGGCGGCCCGCGAAGGCCGCGCTTCGTAAGGTGGACCTGCCATCTGGCGTGCGGCCCGCCTCATTCTCGTCGCTCATCCAGCGATGGCTTTCGCGCAGGCTCCCCCTCCTCCTCCTCCTCCTCCTCCTCCTCCTCCTCCTCCTCCTCCTCCTCCTCCTCCACCTCCTTGTGTACAGTGGAGGCCCATGCCAAGAAGCACCCTGCGTGCCTCCAGGGTGCCCCCTGGGCTTCTTGGGTTTCGACTGCTCTGCTGTGGAAAGCGCGACGCCCCCACACCGAAGTCCATGGACGTCCTGGGGTCTCAGGGCTGGGCTTCCTGTGGAAGGCTTCCCGTGGAGCGGCCTCCACTGTGAGCAGCCACGAGCGGGGCCCCACTCCTCCTGACGGGCCACACGGCGTCGGGCCTCCACGCGTCGCGACGAGGGGGGAGCCCGAGGGCCCAGAAGAAGTTGGGCCTTAGGAGGGGTAAGAAGGAGGGAGGGGGGAAGGGAGGGAGGAGGAGGGGGGAAGGAGGGAGGAGGGAGGAGGGAGGAGGAGGAAGGGGAGGGCCATGAACAAGTTGGGCCCAGTCGAGAGAAAGGGGGAAAGGAGGGAGGGAGGAGGCAGAAGAAGGAGGAGGAGGAGGAGCAGGAGGGAGACCCTTGCCGGATGCAGCAGCAGGACGAGTCGCTCCAGGAGGCATCTTCCTCCGTCGCCGCTGCTGGCTATTCCAGCGAGCACGCCGCCGAGGGAGGCACGAGGCCGCGGGGGCCTCTGGCCGCGAGAGGGGCACGGCGTGATCCTCGCTCGTGAGGGCTGCCGACTAAGCTTCTCGGCGGCTCGCCCGGGGGGGAAGAGAGAAGGGGCGGGCCTCCTCAGATGGCTCGGAGGATCGCAAACATGGATCAAGGGGGCGTGGATTCGCGACGCGTCCCGCTTCCAGGGAAAATCGCTGATGTTCGTCCCCGAACGGGGCGGCACCGGCCGCATTCTGATCCATGTTTGGGGGCCCCGGCATTCTGAGAAATTTTCTAAGCCTTCCCCAAGGACACAGAAAACTTCTCAGAAGGCCGGAGGGCTTCCGCGAAGCCCCGCCGCCATCTGAGAAGGCTTTCACCTTCTCAAATTCCCCCCCCGTCGCTCGCCGCCAATCTTCAGCCGACCCCCCTCCGAAGAACAGCTCTGGGTTTCTCAATAAGCGTGGGGGGGTACCCTCCCGACGGGGGTCAACCTCGCCTCGTCGTCGCGCCGCGACGGGGGTCCGAGCGCCTTCGGCGCGCGGTGGCTGCCCGCGACGGGGTTCGGTGTGGGGCTGTCGGCGGGGTGACGCCCCCCCGACGCTTGTTAAGAAGCTCGGAGTAGTCCTCCCTTCCCCCCCCCAGACCACCACGACCACGACGACGTCGCCGGCGGCGACGACCGCAGTAGTCGGGGGTGGACAGACCTCCTACCCTGACACGTCAATCAAGGAATTGGCCGTTTCTGGTTCGCGAGAGGGCGTCGCGGCCGACACTTCTGCGGGTCCAGGTCCGTCGGTTTCGGCCCCAGGCGGTTTTCATTAAATGGAGGTCTACTAAATGGATTACTAAAGGGAGGTTTGTCCACCTGCCGTTTACGAAATGGAGGTTTACTAAATGGAGGTTTACTGTATGGAGGTTTACTAAATGGAGGTCTACTAAATGGAGGTCCGTCGGTTTCGGTCCCAGGCCGTTTTTCACTAACTGGAGGTTTACTACAGGGAGGTCTGTCCACCGCCGAAGTAGGCAGGACGGCGGCGGCGGCGGCGGCTGACGCCGGCGGCACGCGGAGGCCCTTGAAGCTGGAGACCTTCCCGACGAAGGTCTTCCTCTCGGAGGGGCGCGGGGCGTGCCGGGGGGGCGAAGGGGAGGGGGGGCGAGATTCGACGGAGAAGAAGAAGAAGAAGAAGAAGAGTCAGGGGGGCGAAGGGGAGGGGGGCGAGATTCGAAGAAGAAGAAGAAGAAGAGTCAGGCGATCGCAAGCATGGATCCAGGGGGCGTGGATTAGCGACGGGTCCCGTTTCCATTGGAATCGTGGAGTTCCGCCGCCGAACGAGGCGGCGCCGGCCGCATTTTGGGGAGGGTACCTCCCCCGATCCATGGATTTGGCGACCGCGCGCCGAAGCCATAGATCGCTAATCCATGTTTGCGCGCCCCCGAGAGAGTAAGCAAAGAAGAAGAAGAAACAGCATACGCAGAAGTGTTGGACATCCGCGCGGACTTCCCAAGCTTCTTGTGTTTTCGTACGACGCGCGTGCGTGCTTCTCGGGGGATGAGGAGAAGGAGGAAGGACGGAGGACGGACTCGGACGTGTGCGTTCTCCCCCCCTGGCGAGGACCATCGAAGAGCATTTTGGACCATCTCGAATCAGTTTGTTAAAAAAATGAGGCAGGAACTTGAACACGCACTGGGAATGGACGTCGGAGCGATGGCAAGGATTTGATTCTGCCCCTGCGGGCTTCAACCACCGTCAAATGCCCCCCAGGTTTGGGTCCAGCAAAAAGCCTGGTTGTGGCGAGACAGACCCAAGCAAGGAGCAAAATCCCTATACACACGTCAAAGGTTCAAGCGGATCTTGGCCTCCACAAAAATTCGGTAGCACTTGTACGTTTCGGGTGGAGGCATTTGGAGATGTGAGCCCAGGCCCACACGCCGAACATTCCAGCTGGGGGCATGCAGGATTTTCTCGGGCATCGAATCGTCCAAAGGGATAGCAGGAGGAGGAGGGACGAGGTGGAGTGGGGGATGAGATGAGAAAGGTGGATGGGGGAGGAGGAGGAAAGGAGGAGCTGGAGCGAGGAGGAGGAGGAGCAGGAGCAGGATGCGGCACACCACTCACACTGATTTTGCCCCACGGAGAGCTCCACCTGCGGCACGCGTGAGGGCCCACGCGTGGCCCCCGCGCCCACTTCGGCACAAACGCCCTCCCAACGCGTCGCGCACACGAGGAGGCCCCATCTGCCGCACCAGCGAGGGCGCCCGCAGGCGTCCGAACGCCGGTCTCGGCACACACACACACACACACACACACGCACGCACGCACGCACACGCACACACACACACACACACGCACACGCACACGCACACGCACACGCACGCACACGCACATACACACACACACAGGCACACACACACACACACACACACACGCACACGCACACGCACACGCACACGCACACGCACACACACACACACACCTCGGAGGCATTGGGCCCCCTGGGAGCTCCACCCACGGCACCACAGAGGGCACCCGCAGGTGTCCCCACGCCCACCCCGTCAGGCACTGCACACGAATCGCGCCTTGGTCGCGGAGCTCCGCCCACGACACCGGCGAGGGCACTCGCGTTCCGTCCCCGCGCCCATGTCGGCACACCCCTCTCACGGGCCGTGCCTTTGACGGAGTCCCACTCACGGCACCAGCGAGGGCGCCCGCATGCGGCACCGGCTTCCAGTCCGGCACACTCATCAAACGAATCGCGCCACACAATGAGCTCCATCTACGGCACCAGGGAGGGCACCCGCATGTTTCCCCACGCCCTCATTTGTCACACCCCTCTAAAGGATCGCGTCCCATAGATAGGCCCGCATCCGGCACCAGTGAGGGCGCATACATTCGGCCCACAGAGGCGGACACGCAGGATAGGGCCGGGAGTGATAAAGCAATCCTTGCGTGCTTTGTTGTTATTTTTGGTTAACCAACGCGCCGCATCTCATCTGACTGCAGATGCCTGCGGCCCCAGACCATTACGTAGACCCGCTCTTCTTCTTCTCTCTCTCCCCCCCCTCCCCCCCTCCCCTGCCCCTCCCCTGCTCCTCCCTCCCCCCCGTTCGACCTCCCGCGCGCCGCGGAGCGCCACTTGGGCCGGAACGACTTGCGGCTTCTGGCCGCGACGAGCCCCCATCCGATGGGGGCTCGTCGCGGCCAGAAGCATCGGGACGGCAGCCCGGCCGGGCAGAGAGACAGACAGGACGAACAAACGTAGTGCAGTCAACCCGCATAGTAATCTTCACGAACGAGATGGGCACGGAAAGAATTGGTACGATGCCCAACAGCAGTTTCTGTTCATTTTGAACAGGGCTCGCTGTCCGCGCCGCCGCGGCCTGTGTCCATCTGAGACAGAAGGCCGCCTGCCCAACAGCGGCCGCTGTCGGTTTGGGACAACATTTGTTGGGCATTGTACCCATGATTTCAGTACCCATTTCGGGCGTCCAAAAGTAAGGATGAGCGATTTTCCAAGGCTACCCTGGCATCTGTCCCATGCGGCCCATCCTTGGCTGCGTTCGCTGGCCGCGCCCCGCTCGCAAAGCCTTCTAAGGCCCCTGCATCCCTCTCGTGCGGCCTTGTTATACGTGTTGACTGTAGTATGTTGCGTTGGGCGATTCCCACAGACGAGTGCCAGCACATCGAGATGCGCGTGTGTGTATGTGCGTGTGTGTTCTGAAGGCCTGGTCTCGGTAGAACGCCCTTGGTGTATGCGATTGATCTATGACCCTGGCGCCAGCCCTGTAAAACAGTTCCTGGTGTCTGGCGTGCATGTATATGTTCGGTGAATGTGATTTGTGTGCTGGGCGTATGGTGTCTATGGATGCTATTGGTCATGCTATAGGTGTGGGTGCGTGGATAAGCGCGTTGGTGATGTTTGTAAGTGGCATGCGCTCGTGTTTTGATGTTTATGCAAGTTGTCGGTGGCGGTACTTGATGGGTGGTATTTGGTGTAGAGCACAGGTGTTTGGTGCTGATGTCTGCTTGTGGTGAATGCGCGTGGCGCATGCTTTAGGTGTGTATGTGTTTCAGATTAGAGGTGTTCGGCATTGCTGTATGATGTCGGTGTAGGCAGTAGTTCGCGTTCTGGGGGGAGGGTATACTATTGATGTATGTGGCCGGTGCATCTTTCGCTGGTGGTCATTGATGCATGGTAGTGCTATGTGGTTTGCTGCAGGCGATTGATGCAAGTTATTGACAAGTTCGGAGGGGGGGAGATCGAAGTGGAACGGAGAGCCCCCCACCGGGAAATCGGTTTCGGTTTCGTGTTCGTGCGTGCCGTGCGTGCGGGCGAGGCGAAAGTGCGTGGGCGGGCGAGAGGAAATCCTCGGATGGCTGGGCCGCGGCCGGACCAAATGATTCTCCCTCCGGCGGCTGGTGGCCCGCGGTGTCCTGCCCGGTGTCCCGCTGGTGTCCCGAAATCTTCCTGTGCATGGCTGGGCCGCGGCCGGACCAAATGATTCTCCCTCCGGCGGCCGTTGGCGCGCGGTGTCCCGCCGGTGTCCCGCCGGTGTCCCGAAATCCTCCTGTTGCTGGGCCGCGGCCGGACCAAATGATTCTCCTCCCGCGGCCGTTGGCGCGCGGTGTCCCGCCGGTGTCCCGCCGGTGTCCCGAAATCCTCCTGTGGCTGGGACGCGCCCGAACCAAATGATGCTCCTCCTGTCAAACGGTGGCCCGCGGTGTCCCGCTGGTGTCCCGCTGGTGTCCCGCCGTGGGTTGCGCATTTCAAAACATCGCCGCTTACGGCGAGCTATCCAATGCAAGTTTGCATGCAAACCGACATGCAGACCGAAAAGCACATCGAAATGCAAATCGATTTGTACATCCAAATGCACATCGTAAGGCGCCGTGGGCGCCGCGACGCGCTTTCCAATGCACGTCGACATGCGAATCGAAAAACAAATCGACAGAACAACAGGCATCGTCAGAACAACAATCACCACTTTTTCCCATTGCTGCCCCCCCCAACCTCCTTATCACCCGCAGGGTGGTCGTATAGGTATTGATGCCGCTGATGTGTGTATGTTATTGGGGTATGTTGCTGACGTGTGTACTGTATAATTGGTTTGATGTTATGTTTGGTGTTGATGCGTGCGCTCCGTGGAATTCATTATGTACGTCCTGTGCGTACGTTGTTGGTGTATGTTGTTGGTGACGGTTCGTGATGGTTGATAGTATTGTACACGTTTGGTGCATGCCATTGATGGTTGTGTGTTGGCATGTGTTATTGCCGTAAGTCGTTGGAGCTGGTTGTTGATGCATGCTCATGGTGTACATCACTGGTGGTGGTGGCAAGGTATGCCACTCATATCCATGTGTGTTGATGCGCACAGGTGACTCCTCGATCGGTATGCATGTTCTAGATGTCCGTGGACGGCGTGAAGCCATGACGCCCTCCCTGCTGGGGCTTCCGTGTGGTGACGCCCGCCTCGAACGCGGGGCCCCTACTGGGCCCCCGGGGCCGCGGGCATGCGGTGCGGGCGAGGCGGGGAGGCCCCGGGGCCACCCGGGATTCCCGGGGCCCGGCGCCCAGGGCAGGTCGGGGCACGGGCGAGGCGGGAGGCCCCGGGGGCCACCCGGGACTCCCGGGGCCCCGCGGCCACAGCATGCGGTGCGGGCGCGGCGGGAGACACGGTGGCCGCCCAGGGCCCAGCGGCAGACGAACACCACGCCCGCCTCGGCAGGCAGCAGGGTCCACGTGGTCGCAGGAGGGTGCGCGGGCACGTAAGGTCTGCGAACTGGTTGCGCTCATTTGCCACGCAAGAGGACGGCAGGGGGAACGGACAGGGGAGAGCGCCCGATCTCGGCGACCCGTGGATAGGTGGCCGCGGTGTGCGGGGGATGGGCGAGGCGGGATCCGGGGAACGAGCAATGACATGAACACAGAAACGCGGAGGTCCGCGCGGCTTTCTCGGATCGGCGCTCTGGACCCTCCTCCCAGGCGCGCGGAGCGCGCCAGGGGCGGCGCCGGAGGCGCCGCCAGGGGGCCCGATCCGGGAAATCCGAGCGGACTTCCGAGTTTATGTGTTCATGTCATTGCTCGTTCCCCCAGGGATACTCGGGGGACTGTCGGAGTATTGGCGCTTGGCGGCCGCGGCATGCAGTATGGGCGAGGAGGGAGGCACCGACTACAGTCAACCCGCATAGCAAGGTCGGGCAACCTTCCCGAGGGTGCCTGCGCATCCTTGCCTCCTCGGCCCATCCTTCGCCGCTTTCGCCGGCCGCGCCCCGCTCGCAGAGTGTCGGCGTGGCCCCCTGGGGCCCGTGCTATCCTTCTCGTGCGCCCTCCCGGTCCGGGCTGGCCGTGCTGCTGCTGTGAAGGGAAACTGGGACACACAAATAGATACACACAAACAAAAGGGTTCCCCCTATTTTCCCACATGTTCTGGTTTTTTGTCCCCCCCCCCCACTTCCCATGTTTTCCTAGATTTTCTGGAGAATCGACGATTCATTGTGTCTGTGTGTGTTTTTCCCCTCCCGATGTTGGAGGGCCGCGGTGCGTGTGCGGCATGGGCGAGGCGGGTCACCCCAGGGATCACCTCGCGAGCAGCGGAGCCCGGCGGCCGCGGCAGGCAGGGCGGGCGAGGGCCACCTCAGCTTTGCCAGGGGGGGGGGCAGCTCCCCCCGAGGCCCCCAGGAGAGCCCAAGGGGAGCCCAAGGAGTTCCATGGAGACGGCCCCAGGGGCCCCCATCCAGAGCGCGAGAATGCCGTTGCATGTCGTAGGCAACAGCACCCAACAGAACCCCCAACAGTGACACGTCGATTAGTGCATTGTCCGTTTTCGGTTCTCGAGAGGGCGCCGCGGCCGTGATTTTCCAGGCTTGCGCCCGCCAGGTTTGGGCCTCAGGTCGTTGTCACTAAACCACGTTTTGCTAAAGGGTGGTCTGTCCATCCCCGACCAAGGGCGGCCTGGAGTTCCGTGGAGACGGCCCCGGGAGCCCCCATCCACAGCGCGACAATGCCGTTGCATGTTGCAGGCAACAGCGGTTGGCAGCAAGATGGCACGAAGAGGCCGCCTCCTGAGACCCGCTGGAGGCTTCAAGATGCCCCCAAGAAGCCTCCAAGTGGCCTTCGAGAGGCCCCCAAGAGGCCCTGAAGCGATGGCAATATGCCTCTAAGAGGCTTCAGATCGACGACTATTTGTCATCCCGAAAGGCATGCAAAAGACCTCTTCGCGTTGCTAGGCTGGGGGGGGAGTACTGCGACGTGGAGGGTAGGGGGGAAAGAGCAGCCCCTCCCCGAACGGGAAGAAGGGGTCATGCAAGAGCTGACACACCGAACCACTTGCGCCCAGAGGGCTGGTGGTATGCCCATCAACTACACACCCGCTGGCGTGAAAGCCTTGGCCGTATACCCTCTGGTACCCACTGGCAGGACCTCCGAACAGGAATGATGATTTTCGGTTTGGTCGATGAAAGGGGTGCCCAGTGCAAAGAAATCGGGTTAGAAGCAAAAGGGAGCGATGATGAGTACAAGGAGGCACTGCAATCTGATCAGATGGATTGCTGCCTTTTGGAATACGTGCGGCTGGTGAAGACAAAGCCCAGGGCCTCTGCCTTGCCAGTCATGCTACAGGGCATGACGTTGCCCAGCATATTACAGGCGGATGGGACAAAGACTGGTAACAGCTGCCCTGTGCATTTTCGATATCGAAGGAGGGAAGGGGGAGCGAGAAGACGCAAGGAGAAGGAGGAGGAGGAGGATGAGGAGGAGGGAGGAGCAGGAGTGAGAAGGAGGAGGAGGAGGAGGAGGAGCAAGAATCCCTCCCACCTTGAGAAGTCGTCGAAGCCTTCCTCGAAGCCGCCCACGGCCTTCGGAGAGGGCGCGAGGGCATCTGAGAAGCCCCGCCAGCCTCTGGGACTGCGGGCCCCGTCTGCCTCCCCCCCTGGCGCGACGTCGAGCCACAACTGCAGGGTGAAGTCGGAGAAAAAAGACGCCATAAACAGAAATTACCCCAGTGTGACCCTACCTAGAAGTTGAAGCCCCAAGGAAAGCAGCATGAGTTGCTATGCTATGCCATGCTATGCTATGCTGAGCTATACTATGTTATGCTATGCTAAGCTATGATATGATATGCTATGATATGATATGCTAAAGCTCAGCGAAGCTAAGATGAAGGTAAGCTAAGCTAAGATCAACCTGAGCTAAGATGAAGCTAAGCTAAGCTAATATGAAATAAACCTGAGCTATGATGAAGCTCAGCTAAGCTAAGATGAAATAAGCTAAGCTAAGACGAGATAAGCAACGCTAAGCTAAGGGAACGTCACTGGGGGGAACCGCGGGGCGGATCCTGGGGGAACTGCCGCGGGCGGGGAGCACTGCCCGGCCTTTTAAGCATACAGGGTAAGAACCTTTCTAGGCAGAGCCTAGGTAGGGAATTATTCGCGCTCCGCGCGGATTTCTTGGATCCGCGCTGGGTCCCCCTGGCGGCGCCTCTGGCGCCGCGCGCCATGGAGGGGGGTCCAGCGCAGATACAAGAAATCTGCGCGGAACGTCGAAAGTGCATGTTCATGCTATGCATAATTCCATGAAGGTTTCGTCTCATTCAGTCCGACCCGACGAGTCCTTCTCGGACGGGGCTAGGACGAGGATAAGTCCGTCCAGTGCGTTCCAGAACGCTCTCAGAACGTTCGGGAATGCTCTGAGAAGGCCGCGGCACCCCAGGCATCCTCCAGAGCCGTCGGATCTCAGATATTCGATTTAATCTCACAAGTGTGATCCTCGTCCTGGTTTCGTTTGTGGAGGAGGAGGAGGAGGAAGAGGAGGAGGATGATTTATCCTCACCTGATGTTATCCTCGTCCTGGCTCCGTCTTACCTTTCGCCATTGTGCTCAAATGCCGCGCGCGCCGTGCGGAGGGCAGGAGATACCCAAGGGGACGACTTCTTCGGACATCCAGGCACTGTTCAGGATCGGGTTTGCCATTGCTGCCCGCGGGAAGTATTGGTCTGGAGGGGAAGTTACACAGACACACACACAACTATATATATATATATATACACATATATATATATATATATGCGTATGGGAAAATACTGGAAGTGGTGGGAAAGACGAACGTCCAGAAAATATTGAAAAAAAACATTGGGAATCCTGGGATTTGTGTGTATATGTGTTTGTTTGCCCCTGTCCCAGGCCCAAGTGCACATGACGGAGGAGCAGGGAGTAAGTGGGCCAGGATGTGGTATAATTGCAGGGTGGGCGTGGGCAGCAGCGCAATTATGTACCTTGCTCTGGCAGGCGTTCTTGGGGTAGCGCGTGTGCGCGCGTGTGCTGTGTGAGTGCGTGTGTGGGTGCCTGTGTGTGTGTGGGGGGGGGTCTGTGTCTGTGTGTCTGTCTCTGTCTGTGAGTGTCTCTGTGTTGTTGTGCCTGTGTGTGTGTTTGCGTGTGTGGTGTATGGGTATGGGTATCGGTATGGGCGTGTGTGTGTGTGTTTGTGTGTGCGTGTGTGTATGTGTGTGATGTGTGGCGTGTGTGGCTTATGGGCGTGTGTATGTTTGTGTGCGTGTGTGCTTGTGTGCGTGCGTGTGTGTGTGTGTGTGTTGTGTGGGGTGTGTGGAGTGTGTGGGGTATGGGTGCGGGTGTGAGTGTAGGTGTATGGGGTTGGCGTGAGTGTGTGGGTGTGGGTGTGGGTGTGGGTGTGTGTGTGTGTGTGTGTGCGGGTGTATGTGAGTGTTTGTCAAGTCGACGTTGCCCTCGGAGAGTGGGGCGATGTTTGCATCATGGGATCTTCTCGGCGGCCCTCTGGAAGCACTCTTGGGCCGTCGTGGGGGCCTCGTGGGCCGTCTTGAAGTGAGGATTGTGGCCCCGGATGCACGGATCCATTGTTTCCAACTAGTGTCTGCATTTAGGGTTTCTCATATATCTGTTCCAAGGAATTGGGTTTGGCTGGCGGTTTGGCGGTTCCGTGATCCCCGTCGCCGCCCCGTCGCCGTTTCGTCGCCGCCCGTCGGCTGGGATGGGCTGGCAGCCTGGCGGCTCCGTGCTTGCACGTAGAGTGTACAACACATATTGCACCACACACACACACATTGCACCATGTCGGCTGCGCCACATTGGTTGCGCATTATATAGATAGAGCCACATATATCACACAACATGGATTGCACCACGTCGATGCCACAACATAGTTATATATGTATATGTATGTGTAAATATATTGCACAACATAGAGTGCTATAAAATGCTGTTTGGGCCCACGCCGGCTAACATTTTTTGTTGGGGTCGTGCCATTGTATTGTTCTTTGTCCCAGAGCACCCAGAAATGTCGAGGATGTAATCCGGGCGCGGCGAGGGTACCGTGTCGGACCGTGGGGGTCGTGTTCGTTTTCAGACAGACTATGTTCCTAGAATTGGTGATAGCGCAGCCTCGGCTGCAAGCTGTTGAGCTTCCTGGGGCATCGCGACGACGTGATTTGCCTCGCTGCGCTGGCGGGAGCGAAGCTGCTCAGTCGCTGAAGTCAACGCTTCGCAGCCTGCTTCCCCCAGCCCTGCAGGGACGGGCGGTGGGTCATCTCCAGCCTTTACGAGCGGACCGCTCGGCGACGTCGGCGAGGACGACGGCGGCGGCGAAGACGGCTGCGACGTCGACGGAGGCGGCGGTGGCGGCGACGACTCGATGACGATGACGATTACGGCAGGCAGAGTTTCCCAACTCCCTTTTGGTTGGGTCCACGTTTTGAATAGATCGGGGGTGGACAGAACCCCCAACAGTGACACGTCGATTAGTGAATTGTCCGTTTTCGTTTTTCGAGAGGGCGCCGTGGCCGTTTTTTTCCAGGCTTGCGCCCGCAAGGTTTGGGCCCGAAGTCGTTTTCACTAAACCACGTTTTACTAAAGGGGGGTCTGTCCATCCCCGAATAGAGCATTGCTGCGCCTTCCCGCCCAGGGGCGGCGACGTCGGTGAGATCCACTACCAGCTCGAGCCGAACGGCGAATGGCAGGCGCCCCGCGGGTCTTCGCCGTGCTCTCCCGCGTGCGCCCGCCGCCGAGTTCGCCGCCGTCGTCGTGGTCGTCGCCGTCGTCGTCGTCTCCGCCGTCGGCGTCGAGGTCGTTGCCGTAATCGCCGTGGTCTCTGTCGTTGTCGGCGTCAGCGAGTTATCGTGGTCGCTGCGGCCGCGATCGCCGTGGTCGTTGCCGTTGTCGTTGGCGTCGACGTGGGCGTCGTCTTTTCCGGCGTCAGCAAGATGAGGGGGGAGGGAGCGCGGGGAAAGACGGCGGAGGGAGGGGGAGAAGGAGGAGGAGGAGGAGAAGGAGGAGGTGGAGGAAGATCCGCATGAACCTGTCCGCAGTTGCAAATCTTCGAGGTGGAAGAGGAGGTGCCGGGGGGGGGAGAGGGTGGAGCACGATGAGGGATGTGGAAGGGGGAGAGTAGAGGAGAATGAAGAGGATGATGAGAAGGAGGAGGAGCAGGAGGGATGAGGAACCCCTCTCCTTGGTTGCAAATCCTGGGATGTCGCATTCTACAGAGGCGCTGGTATACCCGTGGTCGAAACCAGGCTTGATCTGGCAGAATCCCGTTTATTTGTCTTATCCCGCTGAATCCCAGCTGCTCAGCTTGATCCAGGTTTCCTTCTGGGGTAAGCCGACACACGGGCCGTTCATCGGGCTGAACAGCACTCGGTCGTTCTCACGAATGTCTCCCAGGAAAATGCTCCTCAACCCCTCGCCAACCCTCCCTCTGGGCGCGCGTCAAGGGTCTCCCTGGTGGCCCTCTGCGGTGCCCCCCCCGAGCCGTCGGCGTGACCGCCCGCTCCCCCCCGGAGGAGAGGGGAGGACAAGGCAGGAGGGGTGGAGGGAGGGACGAGCAGGATGAAGAGGAGGGGAGGAGGGAGGAGGAGGAGGAGGAGGAGGAGGAGGAGGAGGAGGAGGAGGAGGAGGAGGGAGGAGGAGAGGAGGAGGAGGTGGAGGAGGAGGAGGAGGAGGAGGAGGAAGCCTGACCGGGGAGGGACGAGGACGAGGAGGAAGCCAGGGCCTCCCTGGTGGCCCGCTGGGGCCCCCCCCCCGAGCCGTCGGAGCGGCCACGCGTCCGCCCCCCACAGACGCGAGGGGCGAAGGAGGGGCTCCGCGCCGCGAGCAGGGGCGCACCACCGTGACCTTCTCCTCGCAGGCCGCCGGGTGCCGGCCGCTGCCGTGGGCGGGGGGGGGGTAGGGGGGCAACGCTAGACGGGGGGCGGTAGGGGCAAGGAGGAGGGAGGAGGAGGAGGAGGAGGAGGATGAGGAGGAGGAGGAGGAGGAGGAGGAGCGGGAGGAGGAGGAAGAGGAGGAGGAGGAGGAGGAGGAGGAGGAGGGGGATGGGGGAGGGGGAGGAGAAGGAGGAGGAGTAGGAGTAGGAGGAGGAGCAGGAGGAGGAGGAGGAGGAGGAGGAGGAGGAGCAGGAGGAGGAGGAGGAGGAGGAGGGGGATGGGGGAGGGGGAGGAGAAGGAGGAGGAGTAGGAGTAGGAGTAGGAGTAGGAACCAGTGGCGATGCCAGTACTCGATTTGATTAAGCCTCCCCCCAGCTCAGAAGACGGACGAGACGAGGATGCCCTACAGCAATGGACCTCATGAACTACATGCAATGACAAACTGAGGATCCCACCCATACTGTTTGTTAAGATGTCAACCGAAACTGTGACAAACCCATTGCACACTCAGGCCCTGGATACGCAGCTTGGCAACGTTGACAAGGTTGTGAACTTCACCCTTATTGTGAGCTGAAAGCCAGTCAGGTCCCTCGCGACACAAAACTGACCATCACACCGAACCATACCAACTGAATGCTGTGAGAAAACGCGCCCGACGACTGCCGAACAAGGAGGAAGACATACGCCACAACACTATGTGCGACGAGAAGAATGGACAACCAAGTTGAATGGTATAGCGCACCTTTGATCGCACAGTGTACTTATAGGCTCCAATTCACCACGCGCAGAGCTTTACAGTGACGAGCGCAGGCCGACCCGAGTATACGAGTAATATCTCCTGACACCGCTGGAAAACCAGCGGCTGGGCGAACGGTAAGACAGGATCCACCCGAACCTTCTTGCCGAGCCACAATCCACTCACCAAAGGTGTTAAGTAGCTTCACAACAGCCGCCCGCGCCAGGCCACGCAGGGAATCAGAAATCCGGCGCCTGCACAATGACCGATGCAAGTGGTGCAGTTCCACAAATGCCACACCGAGCGATCTTGAAATGAACGGTTGAGATACAAAGTGCGAACATTAGAGCGAAGTGACCAAACAACACAAATTGATTGCCACAAAAAAGACTTGAAATACGTACGCTTGAGGTGGGTTCGGGGAAAGGCCATCCGGCACCTCGCCCACCCCAGGACGGTCCGTGGCCAACACGTGCGGGACAAGGTACAACAGCTGCAGGAACCAGTGAAAGATGAGAATGACCCAGCTCAGGATGGATCTGGCCCGACCTATCACCTGCAGGTGCGCCACGGTCATGAAAACTGTTGGGCCCGCCCTTCACCGACCCGCGGCTCAGGAGAGACCAGAGCTGTGGGTAGCCACAAGCACGCCACGATGAGGCGACGAGGCAGGACCCATGAGGCGCTTGAGCCAAAAGAGGACCTACGCACCTTGGGCCCCATGTGCTTGAGAGGAGCAGTAGGAGGAGGAGGAGGAGGAGGAGGAGGAGGAGGAGGAGGAACGATAGATAACTAGAGCGGCCTGGCCTGGGGCGGGGGGGGAGGTCGGGGGCAACGCTAGACAGGGGGCAGTAGGGCAAGGGAGGAGAGGGGAGGAGGAGAGGATGAGGAGAGGAGCGGAAAAGAGGAGGGGAAGGAGAGTGAGGAGGAGAGGAGAGGAAGGAGGAGATGAGGAGGAGGAGGAGGAGGCAGGGAGATAGGAGTGAGGAGCAGGAGAGGAGGAGGAGGAGAGGAGGAGGAGAGCGAGGAGGAGGGAAGAGGAGAGGAAGAGGAGGGAGAGGGAGAGAGGGGGAGGAGAGGATGGAGGTAGGAGGACAGGAGAGGAGGAGGAGAGGAGGAAGGAGAGGAGGAGGAGGAGGAGAGGAGTGAGGAGGGACGAGAGGAGGAGTAAGGGGAGGAGGCGCAGGAGGAGAGAGGGAGAGAGCGAAGGAAATGAGGAAAGTAGGAGGAAGATCCGGAGAGAAGGAGGGGGAGAGGAGGAGAGGAGGTTTAGAGGAGGAGGAGGAGGAGGGATGAGGAGAGATGGAGGAGGAGGAGGAGGAGACCGAGGAGGAGGAGGCGGAGGAGGAGAGTAGAGGAGGAGAAGGAGTCAGGAGAAGGTAGTGAGGATGCGAGGTGGCAAACGATAGATAGGAGAGGAGTGGAGGGGAAGAGGGAGGAGAGGAGGGAGAAGAGGAGGAGAAGAGAGGAGAGCAAGAGAGGCGGAGGAGAGCGAAGAGAACAGAGGATTAGGAGGAGGAGGATGAGGAGAGGAAGGGGAGGAGGAGGAAGGAGGAGGAGGAGGGGGAGAGGAGGAGAATGGAGAGGAGAGGAGGAGAGAGTAGAGAGAGGAGAGGAGCAGGAGGAGGAGGAGGAGCAGCAGCAGGAGCAGGAGCAGGAGCAGGAGCAGGAGCAGGAGCAGGAGCAGGAGCAGGAGGAGGAGGAGGAGGAGGAGGAGGAGGAGGAGGAGGAGGAGGAGGAGGAGGCGACGAACTGAGATTCGAGGTTTTCGGGCGTGTTTGTCCCTCCTCGGCGCGCTTCTCCAGCCTCGGGGTCCCTCCAGCGGCTGCGCCTCCCCGAGAGCGTTTCCAGGGGTGCCCGAATTGTCCCGAGCAGCCGCTGCAGAGCCGACCAGTGACCCGAAGACCACCGCGACCTTCTCCTCGCAGGCCGCCGACCGCGGCCGGGGGAGCAGTCCAGGCCGACCGGACTGGGCCGCCTAGCATCCGATCCGGTGCGATTGGACTCGCCGACTGGGGCCGCCTTTCCGATTCGAGTCGGTTCGGCCCGGTTCGGCTCACCGGCATCGGCCAGGGCGAGCCAGAGCCAGACGCGGCGATCGAATTTTGAGTCGACTCGGGGCGATTCGCTGGCGATCCGATCTGACTTCGCGATTCAGATTCGTCTCATCGGCTCTGGCTCATTGTTTGGGGCCGTCTGCGGAGCCCGGCCCGGGACCCCTGGCCAGCAGGGTTGGGCCGCCGAAATGAAAAGCTAACCGTCGGGGTGGGGGCAGATCCAGGGCCCGCGGATTGAAAAAACTCATCGTCGGATGTCTTGGAACGGAACGGAATGCCCAAATGGGAGACCCGTTGAGTGAAACTTGCCCTCGCAGTGGACGCGCGCCAAAGTAAATTGGAAGCGCCAGTAAAATCTGGTCGAGACGTTTCTCCTGAGGCCAGCTCCTGTCCAGGCGCTTCTCTGGAGGCACAGGATGGAGAATCGATTGGCGAGGGGGGAGATGGGCTTGAACATGCGAGGGGCGCGAGCGGGAGGGGAGGTGGTGATGATCGAGGGGGGGGAGAGGGAGCGGAGGAGGAAGAGGGGAGGGGCGAGGATCGAGGATCAAGGTTCGAAGATGTGGGCATTATGTTCGCGTTGATCCTCTGAACGCATCCAGGTACCTCCTCTTCCTCCTCCTCACGTCCTGGGGACCATTGGCCACCGGCCATTCGACTCCATTCCCTACCCCTCCAGTTCCTCCACTCCACTCCGTCGTGAGGAGCCGATGATGTCGTGGACCGCGGGGCGCAGCTTCTGGCCGCCGATGCTGCCGCGGCCGCTTCGACCGCCGCCGTGGCCGCAGTGGCCGTCATCGTCGCCGCCGCCGCCGCCGCCGTCGTCGTCGTCGTCGTCGTCGGGGGACCATGGTACATCGGGCCCCCCGGGGCCCAAACACGTCCAGCGCACCCCTGGGGGTCCTGGGAGATCGGCTCCCCAGGCAGTGGCTGTGTACGCGTGTGTTGTAAATTATTCACTCCTCCTCCTCCTCCTCCTCCTCCTCCTCCTCCTCCTCCTCCTCCTCCTCCTTTTCCTCCTCCTCCTCCTACTCCTCGATGAGAAAAAGAAAGAGGCAAGCCGGCTATTGAGGGCCCTCGTGGGAAACTCTTGGGGCCCTCTGGGGCCCTCTTGGGGCCCTCTTGGGGCCCTCTTGGGGCTTTCTTGGGGCCCTCTTGAGAGCCCTGTCAGGCCTCTTGGGACCCTTGTAGGGCGGCGATCAAAGGAGGGGGGGGTCCCCGATTTCCATGCCCCCCTGGGGCCATCGGAATCGCCTCTTGGAGCCCTCTCGGGGCGTTCTTGGACCGCTCTTGGACGCTCTTTGGGCCGTCTGGGGGGCCTCTTGGGTCCCTCTTGGGCCTCTCGCAGGCCATCTGGAGGCCTTGAAAGCGCATCGGAAGCGAAAAAACGAGAAGGCAGACATCATCGATTTTCCTCACGTGCTTGAAGCATTTTGGCCTCTTGAGATGGTCCTGGGGGTGCTCCGAGAGCACTTGGAACCGTCTTGTGGCCCTCGTCAGTCCTCTTGGAGGTATGCCGGAAGCTATGCTGAACCATTTTCGGCTGTCTTGAGCTCCTTGGAGGCCATCTTGGAGCATCGGACGCCCTCTTGAAGGCCATCTTGGGCGCGCTGACCCTTCGCGGAACTTCCTGGAAAGCCTCAGGGAGGGAAGGGGCAGGGTACACCCCTCCCCGAAGGGAAGACTTTGGAAGAGGAAAGAGATAGATCGTTAGACCACCTTGGCCCAAAGGGCTGGTGGGGTTCTGGCCTCGCACTCCAGCTGCTTTGCACCCCCACGCTCCATCCTTGTGACTGACTGTGCCTGCATTCCCCCCAGGATGCCCCCTCCTCGGCCCCTCTCCTCTGCGGGTGCCGCTGCCCCGGCTCCCCGCTAGCGCTCAGGCCGACCGCGACGGCGCCATGTCCGCCGTGGCGCCACGCCCCCCCCCAACCGGACCGGCTGGAGCGTGCTGGGAGGCGAGGCCGCTTACCAGTCTGAGGATGCCAGCAGGCTTCGTCGCACACGGTTCTAGGCCTCCTAGATGGGGTCCGAATAGATGGGGCTGGAGCATCGCGCCGCATCGCCGGTGCATCGACGGGTGGCTGCGGGCCCGCATGGGGTCGGCATGGTTCCAGGTTGGCCGCCGGCCGGGTGGGGAAGGGGGTGTACAGTAATAAGGAACAGTGATCAAGACATTCTTTAGATAGCAAGCCGTCTAGCTCACACCCACCCGCCATCCCAACGCATAAGTAACACCCGAGCCTTGGCATGTTCAACGGTCGTCTTTGGATGGCCAGTTATTGGGAACCATCACCGACCCCATGTGCGCGACGCTGGGGCAAGATGCGCCACGCGTGCCAGGCGCGCCACGCGCGCCAGGCACCCCCGGAGGCCCGTGCGTGCCAGGCACGCCTGGTGCGCCAGATGCCCCACGTGTTCCGCGTGCGCCAGGTGCGCCGCATTCTCCAGCCGTGCGAGGTGCGCCACGTTCGGGGCATGTGCGGAGTACGTCAGGTACGCCTGCGCACATGACAGCACACATCGGGAAACATGTCGCCCGACCCCCATCCTTGTCGAAAACCAATGGCCATCATTGCGTCTCGTGGGCCTGCGCGCAGCAGACCATACGCCACCACCCCCACCGTCCCCATCAAAAACGAGTTGACAGTGATCGCGGGATGGCCGTGCATGATCCAGATGTAGCCGCGAGGTGCATGTTGTATTGTTCTTGTTTTAGGGATGGTAGCAGCCCCTATCAAAGACAATATCATAAAGTGCTCGCGGGCCTCACGAACATGACTCAAGCATTTGCCCAAAAGTGTTTTTGTATCATTTTTGACGGGGATGGTGGTGGGGTGACGTGGGGTGCCGCATCGGGCTGGCAGCGAATGCTCCAAATGTGGAGGCAGAGTGCGTTTTTCCCAAACAGTATTTGCAGCACTAGGGGTTCTTACTCCCCGCAAAATCGTCGCCGTGCCGCCCGTCGCCGCCTGTCGCCGTCGCCGCCCGTCGCCGCCATCCCCGCCCGTCGCCGCCCGTGCCGCCTGTCGCCGCCGGTCGGCGTCGCCGCATCGCACACATTGCACCGCACATTCCCTCCGTTCTAATAGACTCACCCCCCCCGGGATTATAATTTCCCTTTTCGTATTGCAATGTGCGTATGTTTTTGCCCCATCGCCCATCCTGAATATGAAGGCTTCACCTCTGAACCCGTCATACGTCTATCACCTTCTAAGAAAATTAACTCCACCCCCCCCGGGGTTATCGGTACCCTTCTTCGTATTGCAATTGTCATATGATACTGCCCCATCGTCCATCCGAACTATGAATTCACACCACCACAGCCCAACCTGTATCGACCTTTGTCAAAAATCATCAAGTTTCAAGAACCCATTGGAAACATATAATGAAGTGCGCACGCGCGCGTCGTCTCGCGCGCATGCAGAAACCCTTCAAAAACCATCGGTGTCGTGACTATTCGAAAATCGAACGTCCAAACAACATACCAAAACACAAGGTTTCGCAACACGGAGGTTAAACAACATTGCGCGCGTGCTTTTGCGAATCGTTCTCGAAAACCATTGGTTGTTCGACATTTTCATAACGTGTTACCAATCGGGCTTCGCGCGCGCGCGCATCTCGAAATCGTTCGATCGCCCTTGCGCGCGCGCTGTCGCGAGAATCCTTGTTTGCAAAAGATGGGACGAAGTGCGCGCGCGCGCCGTCGCGCGCGCATGTCGAAAGTCATCACAAGCTTGCGATTTCGTAACGGTTTCCAAACCGAATATCCAACTCACATACAACAGCACATGGTTTTCGCAGCATCTGTGTTCAAGCCAGCCAGCGCTCGCGCTTTCTGCGGATTCGAAAGAAAATCGTTAAGTTTTTTTGATATTGTCACGGAATTCTCCCAAACGGGCTTCTCGTGCCGCATGCCGAAATCATTCGCACGCCATTGCGCGCGTGCTGGGGGGCACGATCCTTGTCAAATAATACCATGCGGGGCGCTCTCGCGCGCCGGCCGCGCGCGCATGTCGAACTTTTCCAAAACCTTACTCACCGACGCGAGGACGCCGTCATCGTCGCCGGCGCGATCAGCATCGGCGCCAGCACTGGCCGCGTCTTCGTCGGCGTCAACATGGTCACCCGCACCGCTACTATCATCATCGCGGCTACCATTGTCAACGTAGTCACGATACCGCGCCCGTCCATGTCGCCGACTCGCAGTGAAGTGCCCGCTGGGATGCGCCCAGCGGTCAGCGCCACCGCGGCCGCGTCGGTGGCGCCAAACTAGCTGGCCGCTGCGCGCGCTGCGGTTGGCGCGGCCGCAGAGATGCACCAGCCAACGCCCAATCGCCACCGCATGGGTTTTGCAAACCAAGTTGTTGGTGGGCGGGTGGAATGTTTGCAAGAGCATGAAATGCGTCAACTCACTTGTAAAAAATCACTTACACCGCACATAGTGCACCGCATAGACTGCATTACACAAGTTGCACCGCGCATGTTCACCTTCATAAGAAGAAAATATGCTACCCCCACCCACCCCAGAATTATCGACCCCTTTTTGTCGTATTGCAATTTACATAATATTCGACCCCATCGTCCAGCCGAAGTATGAATCCATGGCATTCCAGCCAGGCCAGTATCGCCCCCCCCGCGCCATCCTCTGCAAACAAAAATGTACGCGCATTCGTTTATCAAAAGTCATACGTTGCCAGGAGTAATTCGCAAAACATGCGAAAACGTGCACACTCGCGCGTTGTAGCGCGCGCGTGCCGAATTCCTCCAAAAACCTTTTTGGTGTCGTAAAGGGTTTCAAAATCGAATGTCCAAAAAACATTTCGAAAAGAGCTGGCGCGCGCCCTTGCGAATCCTTGAGGAAACCATCGGTTTTCAGTTTTGCTTCGGCATGCTACCAACGGGCTTCTCGCGCGCTCGTGTCGAAATCGTTCGAACGCCCTTGCGCGCATGCTGAGGTGGCACGATCCGTGACATACAATACCATGCGCCATGCGGGCCACTCCTGCGAGTCTGGCGCGCGCGCGTGTCGAATTCCAAAACCTCCATTACCGACGCGAAGACGCCGTCATCGTTGTTGTCGTGATCAGCATCGGCGCCGTCACTGGGTGCCCCGTCGTCGCAGTCACTCAGCATCGCCACCAGCATCGCTACCAGCATCATCGTGTTTACCGTTGCCGACGTTGCCATGATACCGCGCACGCC